TCCCTCTGGAGGATCTGATGGAGAATCCATTGCTTGTCTTTTCCAGCTTCTGGAGGCTGCAGGCATTCCTTGGCTTGTGGCCACTTTACTCCAGTCTTCAAGGGCAGCATTTCAGACCTCTCTCTGCACTGTCTTCACATCACCTTCTCTTCTGTGTGTCAGCTCTCTCTCTGCCTCTTTCTTCTAAGAACACTTTGAATACATTTAGGGTCCAACCAGATAATCCAGCAAAATCTTCCCATTTCATGAACTACAATGTAATCATATCTGTGAACTTCCTTTTTCCAAATAAAGTAACATTTACAGGTACCAGATAGTGGGACGTGATATATTTGGGGGCCATTATCAGCCTACCACAGACAGTTATTCCTTTTCTTAGACCTTCACTTTGCTCTGAAAGTTGCTGTCAAAACACATTGGACTAAGGCTTTAAAGCATCCCAAATTATATACTTATTTTCTTGCTATATTTGTAATTTTTTAATGGAGTGTACCCATTAAATAAATGTCATGGAATCTGAATAGACTTAAAGCCTCAGATGGTGAGCCCCTTGTTTCAGTTACTAATCAGAAAAATACCAAATTAGGGAAAGAGATTGAATTGTCCTTTCACTATCATAGAACTAATTTGTGACTCATAATAAAATTTAGTAGTATTTTTTAGTTTAGGGCATCCAGGAATTAATTCCTGGTTTTATAGGGCTTTCTTGGTTAGACTTGTACATGATCAGGCCTAACCTCTTCTATTCATTGTACCAAGTAGACTTCCTTTATTGGCCCATGAGAAATTACCTACCTGTTGATCTTTACTCCTACTCTATAGCTACAAATTTAGAACAAGTTCTCCAGGGCCTTAATGCTTGTGACATACTGAAATTAAGAGTTTTCCCATGTAAATGTATCATAAATGTATCATGGCTTATTTGAATATGTTACATATAATAACATTTAGTTATACTAAGCTTGTTAGACAAACCTTTGTGTAGTGTTAGAGGAATGGGTCAGCTAGAGAACTTTAATGCAGCCAACTCCACTTTGGCTTAGGGATATTGCTTGAATATCCCAACTTTAGAGATTGCCAAAACCTCAGTATAGAAATAACTTTTATGAGCATCATTTAATAAATCACGGGCAAAGAACATGAAACAATAAAACCTTAGTTTCCTTTTCTTCAGTACTTACATTAGTTTAAATATCTAAATGTTGATAACTGATAGATTTAATAGGAAGAGAAGTAGTTTGCCAAAGGGAAAATGGAAGCCTATTCCTCGTTGTCTGCCCTAGAATCTTTCTCCCAGCCCGTATAATGTTTACCAGGTTGTTCTGTGTAACCAAATACCAGAATAGCGTTTGCTGTGCTAGAGAGCATCTTCAGCAGTGTGGAGAAGTTCATCCTGAAAATGAATCTATTTTTAAAATAGTCTGTGATTTAATTAAAACTTACATACTTTACAAATTCTAGATTGAGAATTGAAGACATTTTGCTTCATGGTACTTGACACAACTTACTGAGTGACTTTGGCCTTAGCAATTTAGATAATAAATGACATGGTACTTGCAATTTTTTTTTGTGCTCCTGATAATGTCTGCAAGGCAGTCAATGAAATAATTGAAATTATTGTACCATTAATTGAGGAATATATGAACCAACCACACTGATGAGTCATGAAATGTATATATGGTTATTTGCCTGTTTTATTGTAAAAACTTGGAAAAAGAGTAAGACATTTTAAAAAAAGTATTCTGCATTAAAAGGACATTCCTAAGTTGACTTTTTGAAATTAAAGTATAAAACTGTCGAAGTAATTATTGGATAAATACTATCTTTTAACGATAGATTCATTTTCTACACACCACTAAGGATCCTCTCTAGCACAGCAAATGCTATTCTGATATTTGGTTTCACAGAAGAACCTGGTAAGCATCATACAGGCTGGGAGTTCCTTATTTACTTGAAAGTAAGAAAATTTACATATCTGAATATGTGCTATTGTTACCCCCAGATTGTTTCACTGAAATGTCTCTAAATTTATATAATCTTTTCCCATTTGTTGGGAGATTGCTGAAAAGCAAATGACATATTGATCCTTTCAGAACTGTTAGATGAAAAGAAAAGGGAGAATCACAGAGAACATAGAAGAAAAGGAAGGAAGGAGATAGGAGAAGTGATAAGTGATCCTACTGGATAACTATTTAGTGAGCTACATGTACATCAGCATTTGAGAATTTATGAATTGGCATAAAGCTTCCTGTTTTTGACCTAGTAGTATAAAGAAATTACTGCATATTGAAAACAAAAATTTTTAGACTTTTTAGAAAATTCACATAAGAAAGATTCTTTAATGAATTAATTTACATCTAAGTGTTTGAGTTCTTTAAAGTTATTTCTTACAAATCTGGCCTAGAATAACGAGTTTTTAATAAAAATGTATGCTTGGGGATTTATAACTTTATAATCTTCAGGGCTGAGGAAGAAGATGAAAGTTGTCATGTTTATAATTAGATATATTTTTATTTAAAATTATGATTGTATAATTTCATAAGAAAGACCTAGTGGTCCATTGTATAATGCTATCTATAGGTAAGCACATTGTGTAAGGAAAGCTTCATACTCTGCCTAGTTTGTGCTCTTCCTGTTTCATGTCCTGCTCGTCTGCGCATACCTGTTGCTATTTGTGTTAGTCATCCTCTCTAGGTAAATTGTCCATGAGACCAAGGATTCCATGAACAAATTATCCAGAAAATGCTGTCTTTGCACGTTGTGACAGATCATGTCACTGGTGGATTTATAGCTACTCCAGTGGTCTAATTAACCTGGCAGTTGTCTCCTGTGTCCAACACTGTTGTCTCATTGCCTTGGCATTTAGTTTTCATCTTCTCATTACCTTCTTAACTAAAGCTCAGATTTACAATTTTTTTTAAATGTAACCCCCTCAGCTCTCTCTACTCACTCCCTCCCACCCTTATTTTTGATTGGCAGTATCATCCAGATAAACAAAGTACAGATGTATCAGCAGGAACAGTGGAGGAATGTGTACAGAAGTTCATCGAAATTGATCAAGCATGGAAAATTCTAGGAAATGAAGAGACAAAAAGAGAGTATGACTTGCAGCGGTGTGGTAGGTACTTGTGTTGAGGAGCCACAGCACATCGGCAACTCTTAGAAGCACACTCTGCAGCCGTTCCTGGGGAGCATTTTCCAGCATGTGTTCCAAGTGTTGTTGCCTTTATTCCTCCCCTCCATCACTGTTTTTAATTATGCCCTATTATTAGCAGTGATTATTGTGTATCCATTGAGAAGTTAAGAAAACTACTAGGATGTGGCTTCTTGTGAAGCCTTGAAAGCTATTTTTTTTACATTTGAAAACTGTTTAATTACACATTCCTAATTAATATGCTTTATGTGTATAAAAACTTCTTTTTAAATAAATATGTATGGATTACTATTTTAATTATAGTACTTTGAAGACTATACAGTATAAATGATAATCCAAATGAAGATACTATATATAAGATGACATAATAAAGCACTCTGCTATCTTTGAGCTCATTTTAGGCTGAGTTTCATGATTATCTTCAGGATAAACTATTCCTTATGATTGGTATAAATGATATTTTAGGAATGCAGATTACCTAAGCAATTTTAAAAGTCATTTCTTTTATGCTTTTTAGAAAATAGCTTCTTAAAACAGTGACAAGCTGTTGTGAGAAAGAAAGAGAGAAATGTAGGTCAGGTTTGTCACACATGGACTGCAGTTACACAAAGTGATAGGCTGTCTTTCAGCACTGGCCTAGGGACAGGAGTCCCTCAGCCTTGTGTTTGAACCTTCAATATGCACTCCACATGCTAATGGGAGGAGTCAATAATCAGTTACAGCCCGAGGGGAAAACACTCAATCGCTCTCTCCAATAGCACATCAGGCTCAGCATTGACTAGGATGTGTTGATAAAAGCTGACTGTCTCTGTAGTTGCTTATTGAATCCCCTCCCATGCCCTACAGTAGCACACCATCAGATCTCACAAGATGATTTTGAGGCTTTGTTAGCACTAAGGTTATCAAAATTTGATTTGAGAAGCAAGCCTTTATTTTTAAAACACAGCATTATAAGATGAAGCCAGTGACATTTGCAAGACATCCCTATTTATTTTCAGAGGGATTTCTACCAAAAAAAATTGTTTCTTAAAGGCTGTGTGTGATACTTTTGTGTGGAAAGACTTGAACTGTTTATGTACTGGAGTATTTGTTTGTAAGAGTGACTTATTTATAGTACTAATCAGCTCTAAGGCCGTACTACTTTTTAAAAGACTGATGAGCTTAATTTTTTCTTAAATATTAAGAACCTGATGAGTGTACCTTTGCAAATAATTTGGATTAATTTTCAAAAATGGCTTGAATATTGGGTTCTTTTGCTGGGTGCATAATAAACATCTGTCTAATGTATTTATTTTTTAAGTGTGTTTGTACTTCTTGCAAAAGAATGTAGAAATGGCTTCATTTGATAAGTTCTACCTGTAGGTGTCTTTTTAACCTTGGTTCACATAATTTCTATGAAAGAATTGAAACTAATGCACATGAATGTGTTGTGTGTTAGAAATCTATGTTCCTAAAGCCACTACACTCTACTGGAGATGATGATTCTTTCATGTGTTTTTGCACATCTTTACTAGTCTCCAGTATATCGGATGCCAGTTTGCTTGAGATAAGAATAATTCACACAACATTGTACCCTAAAGAGTATAGGGTATATACTTTCAATGTCACTCTACATTTTTGCCACTGCACAGCCTATGTACTATTAAGAACATATTAGTGAAGTCGACTAGAAGCCTGCTTTCTAAAGAGAAAGAGGTAGGGAGGGATCACGAATCATAAAAATATTTTCTCAAGAAGCTACAGGGTGGGGTAGGCCAGAAACAGAAAGAAATAGGAAACCAGGTTAAAAGTGAGCATAGAATTGCATGAAGGAAGGTTTGAAAGATGTCAGAAGACAAATAATCACCATATTCATGACTTTTTCATTGTCTTCGAAAGGTCCTTAGAACTGTGGATTTCTTTTGAGCTTTGAGTCCTACTTTTAAGCTCTTAATGGAAGCACCTGTGGCCTGCTGTGTCACAGGGTACTCCTGTAGGTCATAGATGAGGTCACAATGAAGTTTAGACCAACTAAATACTGTGAGAGTTGGACCTGATTCATGATTCAGATAAATAGTTTGGAATTTATAAAATATCAGTTTGCTCTGCAAGTTTTTCAGGCAGCATATTACTGAATTTAGCTGTTCTAGAAGGACAGCTTTTCATGACACTTTAGTACCTCAGATTTAAGTACTAAGTATTTCCTCCTTTACCAGAGGCTCCAGATACTGAGATGACTTTGTTTCCATTTTAAATGGAGATTGACTTACTGTTTAGGTAAGAAGAGTATCCAAATATAATTGCTATTTTTAAGCCTTTCATACCAGAGCTATTTTTCAAAACTCTTGCAATAAACCTACTTTCATATTGTTACTTCTTTTGAATACTCTTATTAATTTTTTCTTCTTGACTCAGCTTCAGTAAAATGACTCCTCAAAAAAAAGGAAATGAACTTGAACTTCTCTAACAGTGATGATTTAGGTTTGCTGGAAGCAAAACCTTTGAGAGTAATAATTTGTTAAAGACCAGGATAGGTTACTGAGAGAGAGAGTTTGTTATAACCAGGTCAAAGCACTCTTTTTTCCTGTGTCACCCCCTGGAGACATGGAAATAGCTTTGTTATACAGAACTCTTTTTACGTGTGGTGATAGTTCATTGTAAACCTTTCTTTTCATAGGGTGTGCTTTAAATATGTTTGTTTCCTGCCCACCATTAACTTGCAGTGTAAAATAAAATTGAGCTCTGTAATACTTGAGAAGGAGGTAGGAAATGCTTTATTAGCTGATCTTGAATGCTTTCTCATGTTTCACAGCTCCATGTTGGTGCTCTGTCTTAAGGAAAGCCTCATCAATATCGCCCACAGCCATATTTATCTAAAAGATAATTTAAAGGGACACTTGACATCCGTATTTCTTTGCTTCTCAAAAGAAATGATCAAATGTGTTCTTTCCAATAAAGAAGAAGTAATACTCCAGGGCAGATAACCTAAAGTATTGCACGTATGTTTTTTTCTCCCTCATTCCTACTTCTATATGCTTAGTTGACATTTTAGGGTAATGTTGGCCAGGCTGAAGAAAAGTAAATTTAAGAAAAAGATGAGTAATAATTAGTTCCCAGAGATGATACATTTTGAAAGTAATGTTAACTAGTGAATTTAATCAATTAGTTCTAGTTGGCATATTTACCTTATTGCTTCTGAGGATGTCTCCAAAGGCTGCTTCCAGTGTTCCCCAGAAAGGCATGTAGTTATTCAAGATTAGGCTTTGCATTTCAACCAGATGAGCACTTTGGAAAACCCTTTCAGGATTTATAAAATGTTCACATGAATAATACCTGTTGAGTAGATTTCGCTGCCTTTGTAAATCTTGTGGGGAGTGGTCCTTATATATTAAGCACATTAAAAACACATCAGAATTATATCATGGGAAAATAATGGTTGTCATGATTCAGTAGCTTTGTAATGTGAAAGTCACAGATCCCTGATGTCTTAGTGGCTCTATAGAGTGACACAGCTTATGAGTTAAGTACTTCTCTGTGATCTGAAGAGTAGCAAACCTTCAAATACAGTTAATCAGATTAAATAATGTTTAAAAGAGTAGATTGTGTTTGGAATCCTTGCTGATACATTATTTTATATTAGGATATATCTTAGTACTCTGTTAGTGAATTATTTTGGTAAGGTGGAACCTTCACTCTACATAATTGGATACCCAAAACAGCGTGGCTCAGAGGGGATTGGGCCAGATATTGTAAAGTGAGTGTGCCTTTGCTCAAAGCTAATCAGCTGCTCTGCTTAGGTAGATACAAGAGGTCATTTCTGGTTTGTATTACACAATTTACTCCATCCCTTTATTACGATAAATATTTGGAAAGATAAGCAAATAAATGGAATGGAAGATAAGCAAATCTTAAAACAAATGAGGAACATACCTTAAAACCCCACCAACATGTGTCAGATAAGTCAACATGTAATTTCTTAAACTCAAAATAGGAATCCTTCCTGAAAAGCATGTTAATGTTATAGAAACTCCGTAAGAGGGAAATATGTAGATAATATAAATTTTGGTTAACTGTTAGGAATAATAACTTAAGGCCAGTGGATATTTGTGAAATTGTGTCCTAAAGCTGACCCTTACAAAATACTTGAATTAGTGAGATTAGGGTCCATTTATGGTCATAATATTTCCATTTGATTTTAGGAATTTCAAAATTGGTTGTAAAAATTTGCTTCAGGTAAAACGTGGAAGATAAGCATCGGGGGTATGTTTTTTTGGTGACCGTTTCTGAGAAAAATAAGTATGTGAAATGATGCAGAAAATCCATCTCGACAGTTGGGGACTGGCTTTATCTTGAGTGGGAGAAGACAGTATACATAAAACTTTCTGTGCAGGTTCCCTCGCCCCAACTTACTTGTTGCAAGATGACTACTCACACTACTTGCTACCTTTACTTGAATGCAAATAACTGTTTGTGCAATGAAAATGTATTTTAGGATCATTTTTCATTGGTTTTGAGTAAAAGTTTGTCTACTTTCAAATAATGCTATAGAAACCTATGGGCAAGATTATAGTTATAATTCTGGGACACTTGAACAGACTTGAGAGTTCTGATTTAATAATGGAGAAGTCTAAAATTTTAGGAAGTTTTGTTTCCAACTTTAACCTCTCTCCCAACTTCCACTTGGTTACTTGACCCAGTTGAAATCAGTGGGTCCAAAATCAAGACTGACTGAGTCACCTTTCTTATTTTTTCCTCAACCTTGGTTTCATATTACACTCTGTTTACTTCTACTTTGCTCTGGTTACAGTCAATGAATCAGAAATGCCAGTTGACATTTGTTCTTTTTTAATGTTGTTTCCCCTGTGTGAGCTTTTATTCTCACAGCTACCACAGTAGTCCATCCCCAGATTATAAAGCATACCCAGATTATTTCCATATCCGCTAATTGGCCTTCCATTCTCTATTACTGCCTTCTCCCACAGTACTTTACATTTTGATTGATCTAGCAGCTTTCTTTATTCTCACACCTCTATTTAAGAACATTTATAACTCTGCACCCTCCCAAAATAACACCTACCCATTCACTTGGAATTTAAATGGGACAGAAGCTTTTAAGCTTGTCCCTGCTATTTTTTCCGACTTATTACCTATTTCAAACCTAATGTGAATTTTGTCCCCTGGTCCATTTAGGGGCTCCCAGACACACATCTGTTTATACTGTTTGTTATTAATCAGAACCACCCTCCTGTTCTGATTCTTATTCTTTGTTCAAGGTTCAACTTGGGTCCTTCCATCTCCCCTACCCCCAACTCCCTACCACCCACCAGAGCCTTCTGATACTCTAATCCATCATCATTTGTGCCCTCTGAACTAAAACCATAGAATTATTTTGAACTTTTTTTCATCTGGTTCCTATCATTTGGTTCTATGTTTGATATTTTGGAAGGGCTGAATAATTATATAGGCTGTGACTTTGATAAAAATGAGTCATACAATAGCAAAGTACATCAGACTTCAACACTTATAAATCCAAAGTCAAGAGTTGCTTTCCTACACTGTGGTACTTGAGGTATTTTTGTCCTGCTAATAATGGATTGGTTTTTAGTCATTTTCTTATGGTCTGGTATAGATAGTTCAACACAAACACTGAGAGATAACAGTAGTTTAAAAATAACTGTCATTTTTATTAAGCAATAGAACTGTGGTAGTTCTTTTAAACATTGTTTAACAACCTTGTGAGGAAGATATTAATACCCGTTTTTCAGAGAATATCTGTTTTTCAGGTTTAGTAATTTGACTAAGGTCACATAAAGTAGTTGATTGAGGGGAATTCAAAGCCATTTTTTCTCAGTCACTATTTTGTATGAGTTGTGTACAATCTACTATTTGTAGTTCCAGATAGTCACGTACGAGTGATATTTGAGGGTCAGAACAAGAGACCAGGCCTGCTGCTGCTCTTTTACGTGTTTTCTAGTGAAGCAGAAGGAAATCAGTTTCTGGGCTTCATTTGGTACCTTCAGTGAACACTGGGTTTACCTACAGTTTATAAAATCTCCACAGTTATTCAAGTTCATAAGCAGGTTCCAAGTTTGTAGTTTTTCTTCAGTGTGGAAAGCCTTGTAATAATGACTCTTCAGATTCATCTGGGAAAGGATTATAGGGTTTATGACTTAAAGAACAGGCTTCAAATTAAATGTTGCCTGTTTCTCAATCTCTTATCAAGTTAGAGAATTTTTCAAGAGCAGAGACATGTTAAAGACAGGGAAACTGATTATGTTCAAGTTACTTCCTACATAAAAAATTTAATTATGCATAGTGAAGTGTTCTTTAAGAATGAGGTGATGGTTTAAAATTAAATTACTTGGTTTTAAGACAGCAAGATACTCAATTAGACCTAAAGGAAAAACTGCTATTTATTTTTAACTTACACACCAATGTCTTTAAGTGTGAAATAAACTTTAAACACTTGAAATGGCATAAAAATAAACACAGTGGACTAATTGCTAAATGAGAGCATTGTGGGGATGTGGTGATCATGTGAATAACGTGGCACTGCCACACATGAATAATATGGACAGAGCTGCAGGTGGACTTGATCTTTTGGCCAGTATGGGGTTAAATAAGACTTTGAAATATCTCTGCCATAATGAATAAAGTTAAATTTCTCTCCCCTGTAGTTTTTTGTTGCTGTTATTTATTTTTTATTTTTACTTTATTTTTTAAATTGTAACTACAGATAGAAAAGGTTTCCTGGGATTAGGATGTGTAATTATTTAGGCATGAAACAAAGAGTTGTTTTAGAAATTTTACTATCATTAGAAGGAAGCTTAAAAAGACAGGAATTCCATTGTCTTGTAAGAAGTAAGAAATATTTATTGATTCCCAAATGGAGCTGAAAAAAAACCTTTCCTCTTTTAGAAAGTTGTGAATGACCCAGCGAGAGCTCTAGTAAGCTTTACTGAACCAAGCTGCTAATAGTTATTTAATGTTATTCTTCAGTGTGAAAGAATCTCCGTAGATTTCCCTTTTAATCTCTTTGAATTGCAGGCTCATAAACCTCTCTGATGAGTCCTGCCAGTGTTTTCTTAGATCCCACTGTTGAGACAATGGAGCCACAGAATTCTTTCACCTCTTGTTGTCAGACAAATCCAATAGAACACAAGGTCAGAAGGGCCTATACTTCTAAAGGTTGAAAGATTCTTTTTCAAGTAAGCACATACATTATTTGATTTTAACATTAGATTTCTCAAGAACCTCTCTTTATAATGTACTGACTTCTGTATGTAAATAGATTTGGAAGTTTTTCTTGTTTCCATATTTGGCTAAGCTTGTGAGCACAGCACAGGGTATGAACAGACCTTAATGTTCCTAGATACCTTAGAAAAAGTTGAACCCATTTACTTCAAAAGAATCAGCAATCATTTAGTATCATTGGACTCACTATAAGAGTATACCACATGCTAGACAATGCTTTTTATTTCCAAATGGCTGTATTTTGTTTCAAAATGCTTACTACCATTCTATATCAAAAATTCCAAATTTAATATCTTGGATCTGTTCATTTGATTAAATCACTCTCTAAATCAGTTTATGTTTTCTCAAGCCTTTTAGTAGTGTCATGTTAACAGGGGAACTTTAGGAGATAGGATTTACCTTTCTAGATACCTATTAAAATGTTTTATTACAAGAGAAAAATATTTATGTAATACTACAAAAGAAAACTAACTTATCTGTTTTGAAAATGCCATGCCTGATTAGTAGACAATTATTAAAGCTAATTACAGGGTTCCTGTAAGTTACTTTAGAGGATGGGGAAGAATTAAGTTTTTTAATTATAACCACAATGGTGGACAAGCAGAGATCATTGTTTAAAAAGAAAAAAAACATTGATTTGTTTGTGCTCCTTCTTTGTAATTGTAGTGGGGTTTGAGGAGAGGGAATTTGCTGTTGCCCCATCCCTGGACACCTGCCTCTCAACAAAGGATCTTGGTCACCCCCCATCGCCCACATTTAGATTCACCTTTTACTCGTGTGTGCCACGTCTGCTCATTATACAGTTCTCCAGGGATCCAATTTTCCCCTGAGTTAATCACCCCTCGCCTTTTTCAGAAATTGTTAGATTACCATCCTTTCAAAGAATATACACCTTCTTGAGTTTCTTCTTTCTCCTTTTCTTATTTCTATTTAAAAATGTAGCCACTTAGAGTCTCAACATACTACCTTTAAAACTTTTAAAAATTTAATCCTTACAGAGAAGTGCATAAATCTAAGCGTATAGCTTGATGGATTTCACAGTGAACACACCCATTTAACCAGAAAGCCTCTGGTTTTGTTTTTTTTTTTGTTTGTTTTTTGAGATGGAGTCTCACTGTGTCACCCAGGCTGGAGTGCAATTGTGCGATCTCGGCTCACTGCAACCTCTGCCTCCTGGGTTCAAGCATTTCTCCCGTCTCAGCCTCCCTAGTAGCTAGGACTACAGGTGCACACCACCATGCCTGGCTAATTTTTGTATTTTTAGTAGAGATGGGGTTTCACCATATTGGTCAGGCTGGTCTCAAACTCCTGACCTCAGGTGATCCACCTGCCTCGGCCTCCCAAAGTGCTGGGATTACAGGCGTGAGCCACAATGTCTGACCCAGAAAGCCTCTTATGACTTCTTCCAGTTACCACTAACTCCTCATTTCCCCCACCATCATAGGGTAGTTTTGCCAGTTACATTTTGTGTAACGGGTAATCATACAGTGTGTTATATTTTTTGTCAGATACTGGTTTTTTAAAACCAGAATCCCTACAGGAACCTAGGCTGTTTGTGCCCATGGTACTGAATAATCAGGTCAACATACAGATGTTTAAACAGCCACAGAATATGAAAATGTTTTAATATACTCTTGGGCAAGGTACTAACCATTTTTGTGTATTCTCTTTTCGTATTTACCATGAGATATGGTCTAAGCTAACTTTTCAACCAAGAAATAGGTAGCTACTCTAAAGTTCCTATGCATAGAGATGAAGAAAACATAGTAATAAAACTGAAAAAGCCACTTTTTTGAGTAGGTAGAATAATAGAAAGGGTTGCACATGAAATAGTAACTATGTGTGAAGAACAATAGCTTCCCAGTAGATTGGCAGTTATATTTGCAAGTCATTTCTAATTTATTATTTTTAAATAAAAAATGGCATCATGGAATATATATGAATGGGTTGTCTTTTTGTACAATTAATATATTACAGGGGTTCAAGATAGGTTAGATTAAGAAAGCTGATTCATCTTGTCATTATTTCTGTCTTGTCTGATTTGCTTTGATTGATTTCAAAATTTCTTAAAATGTCTATAAGATACCCTGGAATACAGGTGGCTTCGTTAGAAATGTATACCTGTTTTTCCCCTAAATAGGATTTGTTAAGTGCCAGTTATTACCCCCATTCCTCAAATCTGAAACTGTTTAATCTCCCAATTCTAGCAAACAACCCTGGTCCTTCTGAGTAAGAAATTAAAATGTGATTAAGATTTTTGTCCCCACTCATGAGAATTTTAGATAGAATTTTTTTAAATTAGGAATATCTGAATAGCATATAGCCTACTGTACTTTACATAGAGTGTGGAATTAAATTGTTTTGTTCAGAAATTACTTAGCATACAGATAGATTCTGCATAAGCTATTCAGTAGACATACAGAGATGGAGGAACTATCTCTGACCACTAGGCAGAATCCTTATCTTTGGATTTTAGGGACAGTCTAATAGACTACTGGTACCCAGTAAATATGAAGTGGCCTAATACCTGACATACTTTAATAGAAAACCATGGTGAGTTCACAATATTGTATAACCTTTTTATCTATTTTAAAATTATATAACTCACTAATCAATTTTGAACAGGCAGTTACTAAATATAATTAAATTGAGGGCATTCACATCACAGAACAAAGGGAAGCATTTTCAGCAAGTGAACAAGAGACTAGTGAGACAGCTAAAGAAAATTTTATTGGGGTGGGGAGTGGATTTTAGTAGGGTTTTTTGTTTTGTTTTTCTTTTTTCTTCTTTTTTTAAATTATTTACTTCTAGAAGAACAATACAAGCATACAGGAAATATAACATGCCTTTTAAAACAAAGACAAATGCTTCCCATCTTTGGCTGCCATTTTTGACCCAAAGAACACTTGTTTTAAGCAAGAGAGTAGATGCTCCTGTTACAAACTGTAGGTGGAATTCCAGGCTTCCTCGGACCTTCAGTCTGCAACAAAAACTTTGGACCAGGAAACAGCAATAGAACATCAACACAATACATTTGTGTTGTGGGGTTACTGAAATATTGAAATAAATATTCCTTTAAGTTAATCTCTTGCAAACAAATGTAAAATGATTAATAGCCTTTTACATTTGGATACAGCAGTATTTTTTAAAGCACTTTTAGTCTGATCTCATTTGACATGGAGAACACCTTTCTGTTAGTCTGCCTCAGCTGCCATAACAAAGTACCATAGACTGGGTGGCATAAACAAAATGTATTTCTCACAGTTCTGGAGGCTAGCAAGTCCAAGATCGAGGTGCTGGTTGACTCGGTTTCTGATGAGGGCTGTTTTTCTGGCTTGCAGACAGCCTCCTTCTTGCTGTGCCTTCATATGCTCCTTCCTGTATGTGTGGGTGCATGTGGAAAGAGATTGCTCTCTAATCCCTTCCCTTTAAGGCCACCAGTCCTACTGGATTAGAACCCCACTTTTATGACTCCATTTAACCTTAATTACCTCCTAAAAGCTGTATGTCTAAGAACAGTCAAATTATGGGTTAAGGCTTCAACATATTAATTGGAGGGGGACACAATTCAGTCAACAGCAAACCTCCTGAAGCAGAAAAGAAGACATAACTGCTGTTTTAGAGATGAACTAACCGATACACCTAATGTTAGAAAGTTAGTAAAATATTACAACTAAGGTTCAGATAGTTATTTTTATCCAACTCCACACTGCTTTCTTAGCTAGTTTATCTGACAAAAGCCAAACAAACAAAATACATTTCCCTACTGCTTATAAAATAGAAGTCACTAGTTGATTGCAAAGAATCACCAGAATTAACTTCATGCTTTTCCATGTTGCATGGTTGTGAAAAATGGGATTGATTTTGACTTAAAATGTATAAGAAATGGTATGTTCTAGATTTTTCAGTCAGCTAAAGTCAGGTTACTTTAACACTACTGTCAAAAGTACTAGGCTAAATTTTTAAGTGATAGGTAAGTTAGAATTGTAGTGACCAGGCTGGCGTTGCCTTTTTTAGCATTCTTCAAGGTTACAACTAAAGTATCATGCTTTACAATAAATGTCATGTTTTATATTTTACAGAAGATGATCTAAGAAATATAGGACCAGTAGATGCTCAAGTATATCTTGAAGAAATGTCTTGGAATGAAGGTTGGAATTTTTTTTTTCTTTTGACAACATTAAAAAAATTAGGAATTTTCTATAAGAAAAAAAGAACTCATTGGACATTTGGAAATCTTAAAAAGAAATAATAGTGTGGCTTTCAATATATATATGTGGTATTTCTGTTTGGAGTATTTCTGTTTAATTCTAAACTTTATTTATTGACTGATATCCTTCTATGTGACTCATTTCCAGTTATTTTTATATTCTAATTAGATGTTAGGAACATAAAGTTTCATAAGAGTTTTTTGTTGTGTTTTTTACTTTAGTTTTTGCATTACTGTCTATGTAGTATTGTAATATGGTAAATAATGTCAAACAAGATAGTTTTTTTTTCATTCCTTTTAATGTTGACAAGATGAATTCCTCTTAGAATTTTTATTTTCCCTTTATATATAATCATAAACTGTCAGGGCAGGGCTTTTAAGAGGCTTTTTTTTTTTTTTTTTTTTTTTTTTTTAACTCTCACATACTGATTGTCTTGTAGGAAGAAAAGAATATCTGCCATTTCCCTTGATGCAACATGAAGTCATGTCTTTTTTGCTTTTCTGTTACTAAAATTTTAGAACTTAAATCCAATGTAGTTTCCCCATTCTTCTGATGGTTCCTTGAATTGTTCTGGTTAGACATCATTAAATTGGGAAACACCCTTTACTAAACGGAAGCCATGAGTACCATACTTACTTGTTTCTCTAGGTGAATGAAGAAAATCTTACTATTTCCTAGAATCTTTAGATACTCTTAACCCTTTAACCTTATTGTGCAGCATGAAGTACAAATTCCCTCAAGGTTTATAAAAATCTACTAATGAGTGTGGATAGGTAGAAGATAAAAACAGAGCCATCTGAAACCAAATTTACTTTTTAAATGGCAAATTCTTAACTTAGTGCCCCTAAGACGTGGGTCACAAGCCATATTAACTTAGAAAGGGAATCACGTCTTTGCCTCTGGGACCATTCTGCCCCCAACCCCTCAAGTGAAATCCTAGAGTAGAAATTCAGTGAATAACTGGTAAAGTTGAGGTTTTGTATAACTGGGGCTCCTAGTGATGGTGACAGCCTCATTAGAGTAAACAGGAAGAAATACTGTGAAAACAATACACTAGTGACACAGACTTTTCACTGCTAGTTTGTGGAAGGGACACTCTAGAACATGTCATTTATCAGGGAGACTTGCCTAACTAAAAAAATATATATGCACATATGTATATATACACATATACTTTTTATTTTTTGCCAAATACACAAACTTCAAGGAGACTAAATATGTTTTGAAAATATAGTTTGTCTCCTTATCAATTGGTATGTATATGTATGTTTGTATGTGTTTAATGTCTTATTAAATTAGTTCTTGCTATAGTTGATATGGGCAATATATTTTATATGATAATGTGAAAATACTGAAAAATGGTTTGTATAATTTTTTTTCCCTTTTAAATATATAACAATATAATGTTAAGATCTTAATTTAACATGAGAATACGGGCTGGGAGCCTGGAATCCCAGCACTTTGGGAGTCTGAGTTTGGAGAATCACAGAGGTCAGGAGTTTGAGACCAGCCTGGCCAACATAGGAAGACTCTGAGAACAGATTGTGAGAGTAGGAAAAATAAAAAATAAAAACAAAACAAAGCAAAAAAATAGCAAGACCACATCTGTACAAAAAATTATATATATATATATATGTGTGTGTGTGTGTGTGTGTATATATATACACACATATAAATTTTTAAAAAGAAAAGGAAGAAACATAATATGGATTAGTGGCTTAAGCATCTGTCCGGTCAATAAATACATGGACTTTCTGATACAAGTGAAAATGCTAACATATAGAAGGAAATGTACAACAAAAAATCATCAAGTGTTATCATCAATGTGTTATTGCCCCTGGAACTCCCTAAAGTAAACTTGACAGTAAAGAAGATATAGAAGAATCCAACCCATAGCCAATGAATTAGTAATAAGCAGATACAGTTAATCTTAAAAGTATAGGATGCACTTAGACGCTTAGGTTTTTATAACTAAAGATGGAAATAATTCTAATCTTAATGAGAGAAAATACCGAGCAAGAGCTACATGAAACCATTATTCTTGTGGGAATATTTAAAAACAAATCATGGAATTTTGATTTTTTTTCCCAATTAAAAAGAGAAATTTTGGGAGATGAAATTAAATAAAAAGTGTGATCAACTAGGAAAGGAAAAATTTGTTTAAAGATCCCCTTTAGGATCATTTTCAGAATAGCTATGGAAAGTGAAGATCTGAAACAGGAGAAAAGTTCATGAAACCCTATAGGATAGACACAGCCAAATTGTTGGTTGCCTGATCAAAGGGCAGTATGAAATGATCCTTTTTATTATGCTTAAAAGGCATATGTGAGTTGTGCAGATATTGAAGCTAATCTTCACCCTCAGTCGTTATACGGCTTGGTCATTTTGTTGGCCTTCAGAGTATTTAAAATGATGGTTTCTGTAAAAGTTATCGCCTGGTTAAAAGCTTGATGGTATAATAATAATATAAGCAGAACTTTTACAAGATGTGAATTTTTAGTGAGCATTATTTGGAGTCATCTATGACAAAACTCCACAGTAGCCCATGGTGTCCTCTGTGTCATTTACCAAGAACATGTCAACTCAAATTGTTTTCCAGTGTTCACTGAGGTGGTAAAAAAACAAGGGGGTAGGGGGAGATTTAGCTTGGGAAAATCAATGGTTAGAATATGTACATTTTTAGACAATTTAATAATTTAAAAATTCACTTTCAGAACATGCTCTAGTACGTAGATGTTGGCTTAGGGAAGATGTCTGCATTTTGAATTCAAGATTAAATTATTTTTCTGTATGGAGAACAAAGGCATTGTGGTAAAGAAAAAAAAGCTGGATTAGGTGAATGAATTCATTTTCCTTACTGATTAAAAAAGAAAACACATAAAGTTAGCTTATTTAATTGCCAGTTTTTCCAAGGCTGAACTTGTAAGACAGCAGGTAGAAGGCAGTTGAATTTTGCTTTTTTAAACTACATATGATATGATCTATGTAATCAAATTTGATAATTGAATGAAGATATTTGATTGTATGAAATCATGAGTCCTTTGAGACTTATTTTCTAATAATCAATTATGATGGTGGTAAAATAATGTGATTGATAAGTTATTTTCCTTTGACAGTTACTTCTCAGAGACAGTAAAATGGAATGACCAATGGATCAGAGATTCTTTTAAGTCAAAGGGCACAAGCATTTTAACTTCCCAGGAAAATGACACACTTAAAATTTCCACAATTAGGAGCCTAAGTATTGCACTGTATTGCCTCCTTTGGGCATCTCACTTCAGCATTTTGTTGGTTCATGTGTCATTTGTAAAAATCAAACAAACAAACACACACATACCCCACAGGATTAAAAAAAAAAACAACCAAAAACCATGGTGTTGTGTTTATAGACTTAAGATTCTTGAAATAGTGTGACACTAGAAGTGTCCAGATGTTGCACTTGATAAATAGTCTGGTTTTCTCTAAAGGATAGACTTCAGGCAAAAGCATCATCTTCCCTAACAGTGAGACAGGTAGGGCTGTTTTTCTTTTTCCTTCACTGTAATATTTTAGACAAATACATTGTTGAAAAAAATGTAAAATTTATATGAATTTTAAGAAAACAGAAAACTTCAAATAAGTTTCATGGGTTGCTTCTGAGCATGCCCTCTCCTCCCAAAATCCTTGGACTTTTAATTCATAGCTTCAATCCCTCTCCTCTACAGAGAAAGATTCTTTGGTAGGTAATTTTTATAAACATTGCCCCTTTCAAGAAATCTAGTTCTCCTTTAAATACATTTTATCTTTACTGAGCTTCTTTGTTTTGTTTTACAATTTCTATGGAATAAACTCTGCACCTTTTAAGGGTAGTAGTGAGATAGTTACTTACAAGTCTTTGAAACATTATTTTGTTTTCTTTTGCAGATGATCACTCTTTTTATCTGAGTTGCAGATGTGGTGGAAAATACAGTGTTTCCAAAGATGAAGCAGAAGAAGTTAGCCTGATTTCTTGTGATACGTGTTCATTAATTATAGAACTGCTTCATTATAACTAAAATTGTTCACAACTTGAAATGCTTTAACTGTGGTATTGAGACATGATGAGGAGAGGCCATTGGGCTTTGTCCATTCAAGGAAATGGATTTTTTGTCAGCCCTATTATTTGCAAAGAAAATATATAATTATCAAGCAGAGACCACCTCAGATTAATAGAGAATGAATATAATTATTTATTTGTATTTATAATTTATATTTACAAGTCACAAAAAAAGATTTGATTTGGTGAATTCTATCTGAGAACTTTATGATGCAATTTTTTTTTCCATGACACAAAATAAGAATTTTCTTAATATGAGCATGTCTCCTCTTTTGAGTGGGCAACAGTATCACCATATTCCTTTATAGTTAATAAGTTTCTGATCTAACAGATAATGTTTATAGTTGCTAAAGTTATAGGCCTGTTGTACACCTATAATCTTTGTGAATAATGTGAGGCCAGTTCTCCCATAAGGAAGGCTGGTTATGGATATTCATAAGGTTATTTCAAAGTTAATGAAGACAAAGTGGCAACTATAGAAAGTGTTGACTCCAATCTTGGCCCTGTATTTCCAAAGCTTGTAAACACTGCCATCTTCAAATTTAAATGTAATTTAGGAAATGGAAGCTTTATTTTTTAATTTTAATTTTAATTTCTTTTTCTAAGAGTCTCACTCCATTGCCCCAGCTGGAGTGCAGTGGCATGATCTCGGGTCCCTGTAACCTCCGTCTCTTGGATTCAAGTGATTCTCCAGCCTTAGCCTTCCGAGTAGCTGAATTACATGTGCCCACCACCATGCCCAGCTAATTCTTGTATTTTTAGTAGAGATGGGGTTCCACCATGTTGGCCAGGCTGGTCTCAAACTCCTGACCTCAGGTGATCCACCTGCCTCGACCTCCCAAAGTGCTAGGATTACAGGTGTGAGTCACCATGCCTGGCCTAAGTTTTGTTAGTAGAGACAGGATTTCATCATGTTGGCCAGGCTGGTCTCGAACGCCTGGCCTCAAATGATCCACCCGTGTCAACCTCCCAAAGTGCTGGGATTGCAGGCGTGAGCCACCGTGCCTGGCCAGAAGCTTTTTAAAAAATAATGATTTGAAATTGGTGCATTATTTCTCTTTCTATTTTGGAGTGTTAAGATATAATACTGGGGCCAGGCATGGTGGCTCACATCTGTAATCCCAGCACTTTGGGAGACTAAGGCAGGCGGATCACCTTTGGTCAGGAGTTCGAGACCAGCCTGGCCAACATGGTGAAACCCCATATCTACTAAAAATAATTTTTAAAAAATTAGCCAGTCATGTTGGTGCGTGCCTCTGGTCCTAGCTACTCGGGAGGCTGAGGCACAAGAATTGCCTGAACCCAGGAGGGAGAGGCTGCAGTGAGCAGAGGTTGTGCCACTGCACTGCAGCCTGGGCTACAGAGCAAGACTCTGTCTCAAAAAAAAAAAAAAAAGATGTAGTATTAATGCCTATATTTATGAAGATGGAGCCATGGCACTGCTGCTCTGATGAAATGAACTTTTATAAAGTATTATTGACTATAGCCAACTATAGATGGCATATGACTTAAAGATGCATTTTTCTATGTATTTAATATTTTGTGTACAATAGAAGTCAGAACTCATTTAAAGAACTTTAAGGGATCCTTTAGAAACATTTTTACTTAATTTCAAATGAGTGGGCTGAGCATGTAGACTAGCAGCTTTTTATCAAACCTGGCATTGTCAGGTTGAACTTATAAATACGAATAGTTACTACTCTGACTTGTAAATGTAGCTGCTAAAGTATGAGGCATATTTAAGAAGAATAGATTAGTTTCATTACACCTATAAGAACAAGAATTCAAAAGTGAGGTAGTCATCCAGGTTCCCCCTCCCAAAGTATTTTTGTATCATAAAATTTAGATGACCTTTTTGGGTTACATTTTCATCTATATATTTTGAACTAACAGAATGTGTGTTGAATATTCTTTACATTTAACAATAAAAAACAACTAAAACTGAATAGCAAATAGTTTATTAGTACATGGTTTCAACGGGAGTAATAAATTCACATGAAAAGGAGACAATAATCAAGTCAAAAGAATAAATGATTACTAATCATCAGAAAATCTGTGGCCATTAGGGCTGGCACGTAAAAATCCAAAATCACTCAGAGGCCAAATCTGTAAAACCAAAATGAGGTTGAAGACAATTAGTGAAAGTAATGTTATAGTATCATCATATTCCCTTTTGCTATCCGTCCCTTTTCTCTATGCCAGATAAACACTTTCTCCTTACTCATCAATCAAGAAGAAAATTTTCCACATCAAAGTAAGATTTGAGAAAATAAACTTATGTATATTTATGTTTAAACTCCAAAGTCTGGAACATTCAAACATTGTACACGAAATTATATGTGTGTGGTGTGTGAATACATATGTGTGAATATATGGTCTGTGTTTTCTTTTACTACTCGTAAATAAGAGTTAACTGTATACTTTTAACCAAAGGGGTTTAGATTTAAGTACTTGAATATGGCATCTGTTTAAATGTAAACAATCTGGTAAATTATCTAACAGCTCCATGTATTCATGTATGTTTTTCTCCTCACTGACTGTGATAAAAAGGAGGGGCCAGTGAAAACAATAATCTTCCCTAACAATCATACATTCACGATAAGTCTACTGACTCATACTACTCAACTGGGGTATATCCATACATTACAGGCAGTTTGAATCCAGACCATTCTTCTGCACATGCTTATTAAAATATGCCCTGCGCAGGATGTGAACATAGTTTTAAGAGTTGTACAAGAGAGAACTGAATTTTTGGAAATTCAAATTAAAATTGTCTTAGGCTATAGCTAAGGTAGTTTGAATTTTATTATTATCTTTATGGGAGCCAGGGCAATGGAGGAATAAGTCTGCATATGGCTATTAAGTTAAAGCCAACAGGTTCATAAAATATATTCAGTGCAACAGTTAAGTACACTGACAGTCTGAAGATTTCAGAGATCATTTTGAGAGAAACTTTTTTTCTAGCTCAGAAAATAAACCTTACATTTTAAGCAGAAAATGGTACCTTAAAGAAGATTCGTCCTCTTATTAGTCCATATGGAATAGGTCCATAGTATCTGGAATCTGTAGAATTCTGTAGATTATCACCTTCTAACCAAACATGACCCATTGGCACCTAGAATTAGAGAAGAAATGCAGCCCCTTTAAAAAAGATAAAACCTAATTTGGGTACTATAATTAAAAAGCATGTCATTCAGAGGTAGGGAGAAATGTCCTAAGGTTCTCTTTTATAGAAGAGATACAAATCCTAATATTGCATTTTTGCTTTTATTTCTTGCACAATAAAATAACTTTTACTAAATATCAAAGGTTTCAACTTTTTTAAAAACCTATCTTTTTTCATCATATGGTTCCCAAATATTAATTTGTTATACAAACCCCAAACTGAGGTTATAAGAGATCAAAACAGTGTGACAGGGTCATTAATTTAATAGACTTCAAAACAGGTCATTAGGATGCTGACTGAAAATGTGCCCTTATGTCTCAATAACAGCATAAGCAGGGCAGCCACTCACTCAGCAACATCCTGGGGCCAATACCAAGGCCAGACCTATTAGAATGCTCATGAACTAAATGGTAATTGATTGTGACATCAATTACAAATAATCTCATCATTTTATTGGAGTGGGCTTGTCAGAATTCTAATTAAGATCCCTGTTCTGCCTTTGTACAGGCCATATCTTCAATGCATTATACTTCAATAATGACCATGAAGAACCAGAAGGACCTATTATAAAATCATCAGTTGTAAAATTAATGATGGTGACCTTCTCCTAAATGAAAAGACTATCTCCTATAATGTTCTATGTATAAACTAGTAAATTACAAGATTTCTACTCAGTGACAATCATATTTAGAACAGAATATGTTGCTTTTTTTTTTAAAGCCGCCTGCAATATGAGACATTTGCCTATTACTATCTGTTCAATGTAAACTAAAAAACTTACTTTCCAGAAACAATCTTTAAAATTGCTTTTTAAAAGTTTTTATTTTACAGTTTTGTTACCTAAGACAGTTGAATTATTGACCAGACCAAAATGATCTATATATGGGGAAGGAATTTATTTTCACTAATTTGACTGGTTTTACTTGTAAACCTTTTATGAAGAAAAATATCACTACCGGGTTTAGTAAGAGATAATGCAACTCTTTTTTTAATCACAAATTACTTTCTTGAAAAGTAAATGTATACAAGAATGTAAAATTTGAATTTCACTTACATAAGCGATTTTAAGATTCTGGAAGGTCTTACGTACAAATATTTGCCAAAAACCTCCAAATTTAACTCTGCATTTAGATACATTTAAATGTTAAATCTATTTGTAGAAAAAGGACATAAGTTTACTGAAAGAATGTCAGAAAATATATGATCATTCACTTTTATTATTATTACTGGAACTAGTTTGTCCAAGGGCCAATAGCAAGGCCACTTCTTTGCTATCTAATAAAATAGACATATGTGCAGTAAAGCATAAGACTGCTCTAGTAGAAAAGTGTGTACATCACAGTCATCAAAAAAGGAACAAAATAGTGAATTTGGAAAAGCCATATGTAATAAACATTCTGAAGCGTTACTTTGATGAAGCTATAAGGTGAACATCTTTCATGTTTAAATGTCCATGGTTTCTCCCTAAAATGTGTTTTTTCCTGAGTTCTAAAAACAGGTAATGTAAATGAATAAATAAAACCATGTAGTTATAGACACCAGTAAAAGTAAAAGAAAAACATTCTACAAACTAATAAGGCAACATACCAACAATCTAGGGATATCTTTGTTTGACCATCCCATTGACGGTAAACCAGGATCTGTGGTTTATACATTCCATCTTCTCATAAAGCTTTCCCTAAACTTGCCTGCCCATACCAACCTGATTGTTTCCAGCTCTTAACATATAAAGTCAGTCTTGCTTGGGGCCCTACATGATAACCTTTATTATTATTTTTAACCTGCTTGCCTTTTCTGTCAGTTTTTACTATTTTATATCAGAATAAACCAACAGACAGTAATGCCATGATTTTACTTTTTTGAGTGTTAATGACTTTTATTACATTACAGTTTGGTGCAAAAATAACTGCAGTTTTTGCTCCAAAATAAATTTAATGGCAAAAACCACAATTACTTTTGCACCAACCTAATAGATTTTTGCCAATATGCTTGGCGAAAAATGATACCTTTGTCTTATGAGTGAGGCTGAATCTCTTTTCGTGTTTAAGAGGTGTTTAGTTCCTTCTCTGTGATATAGTTTTGCATATCTTTTGCCATTTGGCTACTGGGTTAATATTTTTTTCCCTTCATTTCTTAAGCACTCTTTAAATACTAGGGAGATTAGCCCTTTGTGGTACAAAGAGCAAATATCCCCAGTTTTTCATTTCTCTTATCAGCCTTTGCTTTCACGTTTTCTGAATTCTGAGTCTTTGTTAGAAAGGTCTCATGGTTTCTTCTTTTACATTTAACTATTTTATTCTTTGGGAGTACATCCTGACAAATGGTTGTAAGGCTTGGATGAATGTTTTTTATTTTTGTAAATAATAACTAATTTAATACCTTGGTAATATTTTTCTGTGCATTTATTTGATTGTTGGCAGTGTAGAATATTCTGTGTGTTTTCTGATTGCATTTAATATCCAGTGAATAGTCTGTGCCTACTTTTGCATATATTAGTCTTTGGGATCTCAATTGTGCTATCTACGTGTATTTCTTCTATAATACAGACAGGATTAATACATTTATCACAAATACTTTTCCCAATCTGTTTTTTGTCTTTTATATTTATGTTTCACAAAGTTTTTAGTTTTTTATACAGTATTTACTTTTATATCCATATGCTTTTTAAAAGATGATTTTAATTATTTACAGTACCTAAACCAAAAGTGGAACTCAAATATTTGCTGGTGGTTAAATACTTGTAAGTAGAAATTCTCTGAAAGCACAATGATAACTGCCATTAGCTAGGTCACTTCTGTAGCAGTTATGACCTGAGTGTCTTTCAAATTAGCGATGTACGATGAAGTATCATCTCTGGAGTAATTTTTTTTTTTTTGAAACGGAGTCTTGCTCTGTCACCCAGGCTGGAGTGCAGTGGCGCGATCTCAGCTCACTGTAACTTCTACCTCCTGGGTTCAAGCAATTCTGCCTCAGCCTTCCAAGTAGCTGGGATTAGAGGTACCCACCACCACACCCAGCTAATTTTTCTATTTAAGTAGAGACAGGGTTTCACCACGTTGGCCAGGCTGGTCTTGAACTCCTGACCTCAAGCAACCCACCCACTTTGGCCTCCCAAGGTGGTGGGATTACAGGCGTGAGCCAACAGGCCCAACCATCAGTGGAGTAATATAATTAACAACTACAGAAAGTAATCATCTAAAAAAAAAAAAAACCTAGACCATATCACCAGGAGCCTTTCATTTGATACTGAAAATAACCTGTGAAGTACTAAATTTGATATTTAGTCAAGAAAAAAAAGAAATAGGTTCAAATATGAGACATGCTAACTCCTCGTTATCTGAAATCCATACACGTTAATGACCATGCATCCATTTACAGTAAAGGGATAATGCCTACATCTCACAGACAACACTTGATGTAAAGTACACAAATCAAGGAAACAGCTGTATCACTGATGTTACCTTTAATCTAACAAGATCTCTATAAACAAGAAAACCTTCAAGTACAGATCATTTAAAATCAAAGCAGTCACCTTTGCTGATCCACCTCTATAAATTACAGGTTGAGTATCTCTTATCTGAAATGCTAGAGACCAGAAGTGTTTCAGGTTTCAGATATTTAGATTTTGGAATATTTGCATATACATGAGATATCCAGGGGAAGAGACCCAAGTCTAAACATGAAATCCATTTACGTTTCATATATACCTTATACACATAGCCTGAAGGTAATTTTATACAATATTTATAATTTGTCCAAGGAACAAAGTTTTGACTGTGTTTTGACTATAACTTCTCATGTGAAGTCATATGTGGAATTTTCCACTTGTGGCATCACACAGGCACTCAAAAAGTTTCAGATTTTGGAGCATATTGGATTTCATATATTCAGCTTAGGGATGCTCAACCCATGCTCAGTTTACCGGTACAAAAAATTACGTTTGCAATTACTCCTCCTTTTAAAAATATAATTATTTTTGGTATGGGGGAAAAGAGTGAATACTTCATCTTACTTTAAAAATCAACTTATAGGCCGGGCACGGTGGCTCAAGCCTGTAATCCCAGCACTTTGGGAGGCCGAGGCGGGTGGATCACGAGGTCAGGAGATCGAGACTATCCTGGCTAACATGGTGAAACCCCGTCTCTACTAAAAATACAAAAAACTAGCCGGGCGTGGTGGCGGGCGCCTGTAGTCTCAGCTACTTGGGAGGCTGAGGCGGGAGAATGGCGTGAACCCGGGAGGCGGAGCTTGCAGTGAGCCGAGATCACGCCACTGCACTCCAGCCTGGGAGACACAGCGAGACGCCGTCTCAAAAAAAAAAAAAAAACTTATAGAGGTATATTTTATTTACAGTAAAATGCACCTGTTTTAAGTTTTGACACAAGTTTTGAAAAATGTACATACCCATCTAACCACAACCACAATGATACAGGATGTTTCTTCTATGCTGAAAAGTTCCCTTCTGTTCCTTTGTAGTCAGTTTCCTATTGCCATGCCTAGACCCAGTCAACCAGTGATCTGCTTTCTGTTCCTAGAGAGTAGTTGTGCCTGTTGCTTAATTTCATATAAATGGAATTACAAAGTACCTATTTTGTGTCTGCCTTCTTTGGCTTAGCAAGATTTTATGATTAATCTATGTTGTATGTAGAAGTCATTCATTTTTTACTTCTGAGTATTCCACTGTAAACCACAATGTTTATCTATGAACCTGGAGGTGGATACTTGGCTTGTTTGCAGTTTGGCGCTAGTAAAAATAAAGCACTCTGAACAGTCCTGTACAAGTCTTATTTCTTTTCAGTAAATATCTAAGGGTGGAATTTCTGGGCCATCAGTAAGTCTATGTTTAACCTTAAAGAAACTACCAAACTTTTTCAAAGTGATACTATTATATACTCCCAACAACCAATGTATGACTGTGTTCCTGTTCCACTACCTCTCCAGCACTTGGT